TCCTGCTGGCTCATCCAGCAAGCCATGTTTTGTAAACTTCAGAGCTGAACAGAAGCAAACCCAAGCTTTTAAGACTGAAGGGCATCCCGGCACACCTGGAGCACGGCTTCCTGGTTCCTCCCGCCAGACGTGGCATTTCACCATGCAGCGCCGATTTTAACAGGGGTCTTTTTGGAGGGAAGAGCATCATCAGGTCTAGGTCCCAGCTGGGAACTGCAGAGATGTGCAGAAGACCAGGAAAACTGCAAGGAATACTGCTGCTCCAGGCAGCTAGTGGGTGCGGTTTGTAGCTCCTTAGAAGCAGCCGCCACAGCGGGCCTATTTGTTTCCAAAACTGCTGCCTGCTTCTGGCATCTCCTCAGTAATTCCCGTAACAGGTCTGTTATCCAAGAGAGATGAACTGATAAAAGACCAGCCACAAGCAAGCACCACAGCCCGCTGGAGGCTTTGCCTCCAAAACCGTAACGACGTCGTTTCACATGCACGGCAGAACCGACATCATCGACGTTCACACACACTTTCTGCCAGGCAAGTTTAGATCTGAGCATCACAGCGCTTGCCACAAAACTAGTCCCGTGTTGACAGAAAGGATGTAACGTGACTGAGGGCACATGGAACAAGAAAATTCTGTGTCTGACCTGGTTATTACCTTGCACTTGGCCACAGTCTGTCAGGCAGAGTGAAGTGTGTTCTTACAGCAAGCCGTTACATCACCTGACGGTAATTAAGTCCTGTCCGCATGCAGCCCTGTCTACGCCAAAGTGCACTCCAGAGCTTCAGCAGAGTATTGAAGCAGCTACAGGTTGAATCGGACACAGGGGATTTCACTGCTGGTTTATTTAACCCTAACCTAAGCAACCAGCTCATTTGACGATAACATTACACATAGCTGATGGGCATTGGCTGCATCCAGCATCAGCACCACCGAGAGGCCGGGGTGATGTGCTAGTAACGAAGCACCTGTAGGATATGATGGATGCCAAGGGAACCCAGGGACAGGCCTGTGGTACTCTGCCCCAGCAGGATGCTCACACCCGGCTCCCCTTTCCCAGCAAAGCCAACCTGCCCCCCAGGAATGGGGTGGCTCTTTGGGAATCCAAGGCAAAGGCTGCTGGCAGTGGCCCAGAG